GGGGAAACAATGCCCCGGCGCCTGCTGCAGCTGATCTTCAGACGTATCATAGGATAGCCCTAAGCTGGCACGAGGCTGAGGAAGCCACGGCAACTTCCCGCCCGATCACATACCTTACCGCAAACATTACTAAAAGCTGCTAGCCTACTTGTACCGTCGCAACTTGCGTTCGTCAAACTGGTGCTAGGCAGGTCGGTGGGTATTTAAAGTAGCCCCCGACCGGGCTGGTCTTCAGGCATCGGGTGAACGACGCTGGCCGTGATTGGCTGGTGCTCTTTCCCCCGAAGATCGACTGGCCTGTGTGGTGGGTTGAGACTCGGCTACAGCTGAGGTACCTCAGCCCCGAAACCCGGGTACCTCGTCTATCCCGGGGGCTAATTATACCGCTGTGACATACCGATATTACGCTAGGTACAGCGGCTAGCGCTGCGAGGTAGTGGCAAGTACCCGGCCGGGTTCTTTCCAGCGACGCTCTGCCGCCCTGCCCCCTCCTTCCAACCGTCGCTGAACCTTCTTTTTTTTCCATCCGCGACTCTGCATTGTTGAGACATTATCGATCACAGACCCTGTCGAGATGCAGTGACCAATCCGCACGAACAGCTGACGCGCATAGCGATCCCCCCTTCCTATCCCCTCGGACGCAATGACGCTGATTGCAAAGCAGCCTGGAGGTACCTACACGCTACTGCCCATCACCCGTGCTCAGGACATGACTGTTTGCGCCCCGGTTTTTCCGCCCAACTCTAATTCGCGGCCATTAATGCGCTTCGCCATGATAGCACACAGGCACGGGCACTCCATGGTGCTGGGCTGGAGGTGAGCCCGCGAGAGCAGGAGTTGGGTGGGAAGACGTAGGGAAATAGCGACGAGGCAGAGATTTTAGCATCTCCATCAGCGCCCCAACACCGCCTTGAAGACTGCGCGTGTCGTTATGCATGGCTTCGTGGCCATGCGTTGGCAGCAGGTGCTGTTACAAGTCTCTTGGTTGCGATCCTCTCCACACCCCCTCTCTTTCATCCGATTTGCGCACCCCTCCCCCTCCTTCTGTCACCTCCTCGACCGTCATTTTAGGCGCTTCGCTCTCTGTCACGAACAAAGGATCGGAGACAAGCGCGCAAGAGGTGGGAAGATCAGGAGGTGGCAGTCCCGACTCAAATCATATGGCCGTGATTGAGGCCTGATGGGTGTCCCTTGCGAGGGTGTCGTATCGACCAAAGAAGGGGGTCTAGGCCGATGGGGGCCAGCCGTTGGCAGAGCATTGTGAGCTGCTCAATTTGTTTTGCTTTGCCCTTGGCTCCATTAATGCCTTCCTTCTCCTGAGCTGGTCTGGCATCAAGAGTGTTGCATCATCTTCATGCCTCACATTGGTACCTTGCGTGTCCAACCGGCCGGCTGGGGAAAATGTCATCAGCCACACGTCTGGGTTATTCTGGTCCTATGGCTGGCCGCTCTGCCTCATGGCAAACACCCGTATAGTCAGGATCCACATGCCGCGTCTTACACGACAACGTTTTCTGCTTTCTTCTCAGCTCTGTCACTCTGTCACTGCGCAGGCTCACCCCCATCCTTCGGGCCACCCCTCCCCTGTCCTCGGCCGCCCCAAACTCTTCATATAGTCATCATGGCTTTTCACGTCAATGGACGTGGGTTAAGCCCTTCTAATGCCGGCTTGATCCATGTAACAAGGTACACTGTACAGCTGGGTTCTTGGTCGGTGTCGAGCTCTCAATTGGACCCCAAGTTTAAGACTGAAAACCCTTCCCCCACTGCACCACCTCGCTTTCCGTCAACTCTGCCGTTGAAGCCCATTGAAACCACTGACCCGGGCGTTCCCTTCTCATTTCATTTCTTTAGTTGTACCCCTGGAATCATCACACCTGCACATCGACCCAGCTAATTAGTTGCCGACGTGGGTCCTTTCTGTCTTGTCCCTGGGGCGGATCTCAACTCGCCTGAGCCTGCCTTGCCTGGCCGTACTTAGCTGCAGGGCTTCCTTTTCTTTTGTCTGATCTCATCTTATACCTCCATTCTTCGATTTCCTTCTTCTAGATACCTTACCGTCCTTTGCTGCCCAAGGCCTCCTACATAAAAGGCGTCCTGCTTATCTTTTCTGAGACCCGGTCGTAGACGCTTCCACTACCATCACCCACAGACCGACTCTTGCGTTTATTGGTGGGTGACACCCTGGGCCGCATCCAATCATACAGTCGAGAAAGGCCCCTTCACAAAATAACACCGCCAACACTTGGAGAGAGAAACACAGCGCGCTCTTTTCTTCATTCCCGACTCGTCTGAATCTTGTACCTGGACGCCTCGAGTGGCAATCGGAAGTCTCGGCCATCATTTCTGGTCTACCATTCGCCCTCTGCCCCAGGAAATCGGAGATCACCACTGGATCTAACCAGTTCCTGCTTTAACAATAAGTCCCTATTATCAGACCTGAGCTCGTTATCGTGACAGCCCCTTTTGTGTCCGGCTACACTAGGGAGCTTGAACGACGTGGTCTCTCACAAACCGACCACCCCAAGGATAAACAAAAGTCGTAGACGGGCCGAACAGGCAACCGTCGAGCTGGCTCAAATCAAGAGCCAGACACCTCTCTGCCTCTGGCAGGCAGAGTCGTCGTTGCCTTCTTCAGGTGTGGCCGGACGCTGCATCGACTTTCCACGCGCCTCTCTGGTCCATGCTGACAAGGGCTCCTACTACGGCGCGGCATCCGTCAACGTCAACGTGGATATCGCCTCTCTACTTAAAAACGGCCCCGACTCAGATGAGTCCTCCGTCTCTCCTTCGAGGCAGTTGCGACCCACATCAGTACCACTTCCGACTTCTTCGTCAACTTCACCAGGACAACTGCCGCAGCTGCTAGAGCAACAGCACCAGCCGCCTCAGCTGGCGCCGCATGTATCACGCCCGATAGCACCGGCTGCAAAGTCAAGCGCACGGCGAAGCATGCCGCCCCAAGTGTCGGATCAGCCTGCGAAGAAGCAAAGCAAGTGGTCACCCGAGGAGGATACTCTCATCATTGAGTTGCGGGGCCGAGGAATGAAATGGGAGGATATTTCGAAACAATTACCAGGAAGAAGTGCGATCAGTTGCCGGCTTCACTATCAGAACTACCTGGAACGACGCAGTGAATGGAGCGAGGAGCGCAAGGATAAGCTTGCACAACTATACGAAAGGTAAATACTAAGTCGTTCGGGTTGCCACCAGACCTAGAAGCATTTGTGCTATCCGTTGACCCAACGCTTGTCTCTCCCCTTGGCTCACCTCACAAAGGACTCTGCCTTGCTAACGACTCACAATAGATTTAAAGCAGACATGTGGGCCAAGGTTGCTGAAGAACTGGCTGTCCCTTGGCGTGCCGCTGAAGCGATGCATTGGCAACTTGGCGAGACAGATATGGCGAGGCGGGCGGGTGTGGTGCCTTTCTCTTTGGCAGCCGTCAACGCCGAGGCTAATGCAAATGCTCGTCGAAACTCCCCTTCCCGAGGCCACTACACCCCCCATCCCCATGGAGGCATGCACGGCGATACAGGACCACCGAACCGAAACTTGTATGGCCGAAGCCCGCAAACAGTGTCAGGACGGCCCAGGGCTCATACAGTTGGATCACGTCGCGAACCCCTCACGCCACAGTCACGACCAATGGTGGAGGAGCAACCGGAAATGGGCTATGCTCAAGTGCCAATGTTGGCACCCATCCAATCCCAGGCCTTCCCTGCCAAGGGACGCTCGCTGCCCAGCATCTCGGAATTGACGACGGGCATTACTCCATACAGTGATGCGCCCGGGCCTGGTCAAGGGGTTGGAATTCCAAACTCGATGCCTCTTCACCATGCCACCTTTTTGCCTGCTGGAGTTGGGTACATGGTGCATAACCCTCTGGGATCAAAACGACCAGCCAGTCCCGATCCTAACCTTCGAGATGCTCACCATAGACGACGAATGGAATAAACGAACATCATACCGGAATGATGGACACGAACTTTTTTCTTGATATCTTTCTATGATAGCGACATTGTTTTTTCTAGCATCATTTTTGGGGTGATTTCCCCCCTTTTATTATTTTCTTTCAGTTTTAAGAAGAGATGGATGAGCACACAGCAAGTTTATGTTTTGGGAGTAGAAGATTTCACGATAGGTCAAGCACAGAGCTTGCATTGGGGCATGGGTACAGGGCAACACTGACGTTTTTCTTTTTCCTTTTCACGACGAGCGACATTCTATCGACATGTACGGGTGGGGATTGGTGCATTTGTATGGCGAATACCGGGGCCGGGTATAGGGAGAGACCAAAAGTACTGAGCATGGATGCTCAGACGGGTCAACGGTTGGACGACTTTTACTAGTTTGTTTCAAATTGGATGTGAACTTTATTGGGGAATATTACTAGAGGGTGGGATTCAATTTGAATGGCGCATTGGAAAGGGGGGATACATAAAAATTAAGTTCCGCATTGGATATGCAGGGCCTTGAATGACAGAAGAGATACTTCGCTGATGACTACTACCCAAGATTACATTATATATATGCACTATGTTTATGTACTTTACAATGGTACCCCACTCCCCCAGAAATTCAACAAAAGATATTGAATACAGGCCCGTCATTTCATTCTTTGCTCGAGTAAAATCCAAGTTTGTTCCAAGCGATGCTGGGTGTGGTTGCTTGAGCCGGGTCCTACGGGTCCTGTGATTGCTGTTGAACAGGCTCGGAAGCTCACTACCGAGGCTGAGAGGGAGCCATGTGCGGATCAGCAGCCCCGAGGAGGGTCAAGTCCATGTTTGGCGTACACAGAGGAGGTGACAAGCCCATACTACCGAGTCGCACATGATGCGACCTCGGCTGATGCCGTGAACTTGGCTTGGGAAATGTTTGTAGTGCAAGGTGTCTATCGGGCTGGGGTCACGGACTCCACAACGAAACCTCACGGGACCTGGAGTAAGGTAAAGGGGACAGGACTGAAGAGACGGGGTTGGAAGAAGAGAAGAGCCCCCTCAGGGATCGCCAGGCTGCTGCTGCTTGCTACATACGACCCACCAGTTGTCCCTCTCGTAGCCCGCCTCCAGGACCGCGCCCCCGGCGGCCAGCACGTCCTCCTCGAGCTCGCCCTCGCGGTACAGGTGGTAGTACCTCTGGTAGGTGGTGTCCTTGCCGTTGGGGTCGCCCCTGGGGCCCTTCATGACCCAGGGGACGAGCGTGTCCTGCTGGCTGTTCTCGTCCCAGCCGCGGCGGCTGCTGGCCTGCTCGAGGGCCCAGACGTAGACGAGGACGGTTCCCCCCTCGCGCACCCTCTCGAGCAGGGCGGCGATGCTGTCGCGGCGCCTCTGCGGGGTGCTGAGGTGGTGGATGACGGCGATGCAGATGGCGAAGTCGGCGGCCCCCCGGCGGTAGGGGAGCGCCAGGCCGTCGGCGACGAGGACCTCTGCCCTGCCAACCCCAGGGCCGACGGGCTGCCCGCGGGCGAGGTCGACGAGGGCAGCGCTGCGGTCGGAGCCGAGGAGGTGCAGGCGGGGGTTGACGGGGAGATACTTGCCGTTGCCGCAGCCGACGTCGAGGCCGACTGAGCCCGGGGGCTGGGCGTTGAGGAAGGAGGCGACGCGGGGCCAGGGCTTGTGGCGGGTGGCAGAGAAGTGAGGCGCGATGGCCTCGTACACGGCGTGGACGTGGGTGGCCTCGTAGGCGGCGCCTGAGGAGGCGGCCTCGGGCTGGTCTGAGACCTGTGGCTGTTCCATTGCTCACGGGCCTGGGGGGGTTTCTTCCCCGTGTTTGGGAGAAGATGAGAGGGCTGTTTTTTTTTTTATTTGAGACCCGTTGGGATATGTGTGCTAGGGAGCCTGCTGCAGGTTTTACCTGTTGTTTGAGTTGACTCAACTTCGTCAGTTGCTGCACTGAGAAGTGGGGTAACTGACTCAAATTTTGACTCTGTGTTGCGACTTGGGGCTTTAAATTTCACGAGATCACGGTCAATGAAGGAGATGGACTAAAGAAGCGTATGAATTATAGTACACCTAGAAACTACCATACAGAAATGAGTTTATCACCAACATGAAGAGTTACAAGAGTCTACATCCAAGTTGTAGTGAAATATTCCCCCCGTTGAGTTGGATGTGGGGTACAGAAAAAATACCCAAGCAAGATATTTTGATATTCACACAGCCAAAGCCACAATCTGAGCATAGCATTCCCAAAAGGGCTGAAACAGATGCTGGTCAACGTTGCAGACAAAATCTTACTTCGAGGAAATATATTGAGCTTGTAACTGGTACAACTGACCGGTCGCTCTCCGTATCTGCCAACGTTCTACCCGAGGGGCAGGAGGATCCTGCCAGAGAAAAATTTACATGGGAGGTTAAGATTTGCTTCATCGAGTGTCGTCTCACTCAGCCCTCTCGGTGCTGACTGTCTAATTAACCGCCATGTGCGCCCCCCCAAAGAAAGCATGTGGTGGATTTTGCTTATCGTCCGAGTCCCCAAACGCACAGTACGAACAACGTGCAAGGGGTGAGAGCCAGTCATTCCGCGTAATCTCGGTATGGACACCCGGGCTCGGGACGGGAGGGGAGAGCCTTCCCACATTAACAGGGCGATTTATTACGAGGTGTGTTTTGGGCCGGGGTTGCGAGAGTGTGTGTGAGCCTATGTGTGTGTGTGTGATTTATGATGAGGAGGAGGGGGAGGTGAGATGAGATGGGCGATGGGATGGGCCGTCATCTGGCCCGATGCCCGGCACGATAATGTACATAAAACGGCCTTACGAGAATTCTTTTCCTTCTCTTCGCCAAACGCATGGACGAACGCGGTTGAAAGCCACACGCGAGACCACCCGCCCCTTTTCGCCTATATGGCGCGGAGATAATCTGGGTATGTGCGCGCGCGTGTTTGACTGCCTATAAGCTACGAGAAGATATGTGCGTACAGCTCAGTCCGAAACAACCGATCCGCGGGGCATGAACGGCAATGACATGCATTAATGCACGGTGCCAGCTAGTCTCGATGAAATTTCCCGTTTGGGGGGAGGGGTGTTCGCTTGGCCTGGTTGGATGGGATGGTTTGAGGGATCGGGGCCAGGCCAGGGAGGAAGCTGAACGAACGCACAGGAGCATGAATATCATATCACACACATGGCCTGTGCAGGCGAAGGGGAGGGGTAAGCAGAATAGGGGAACGGGGGGGTACATTGAAGAAACACATTCCATATGGATGTGCGCCGGTCAAGTCAACACGGCCCTGGGGCTGAAGAATGGAAAGGATAGAAGCGCAAGGATGAACATTTCAAGCGCTCATATCCGGCGGTTATGGCATTGATTGAATGAGTTTGATGGCGAGTCATGGACCCGGCAGACGTGACAACGCATCGACTCTTTGCCTGAACGGGGAACCGGGGGCATGAGTAGACCATATGTTGGCATGTATAGGACAGGGTAAGCAGAGGCCGGACCAAAAAGAAGGAAAAAGGAACCTCTACGATGCCAGGGTGGTGAGTGCACGGATACAGGTCCTTTCGCTTGAACATGTCAGCTACTACCTAGGATGTTCGTGGGCGGTTGGTTCTCACTCTCCCCGGCGGATTCATCGACTCACGCCCTTGTGCCCCTTTCTGCCCCCTGCGCTACTCAGCCCATCACCTCCTTCATGTAGGTAGGCACATTATCACAGGAACTGTGATACAAAAAGACCAAACCCCACAAGTGTAGGAGTTTTATCACTGCATCGTCTGGTTTCGAAGTACCCGAAATGCCAGAGGCATAAAGCTGGCGGTTGGAGAGAAGCACCCGATCGTGGGCGTTTTGATTATCGCCGATGGCCAGGCTTACACCCGCGGCGAGTGTACGAGTGTCTTATTTTAGTCGTGACGCACATAGACCACCCTTCGGCGTGCTCTCTTTCCGGAAATTGATGACAATGTCTGACTCCTTGACGAAATGTCACTGCAATCTCGAAGACAGAAAGCCTCGAGTGACCTCAATGGTGAGAGAATGGCACAATAGAGCTGACTAAGCGGCATCATTATGATTCCAGCTTTGACGATGTAGATGGCGTCTCAAATAGTTTGACATTAGCTGGAATTAGCTACTTAGACTTTACCTATCTACCTACTGCCGGTGTTCAGAGGACTCTGAGGATCATATACATCAGTGGTGATGAGGTCTGGGTAGGTAATGCCACCCTGCTTCAGCGCTGACTCCATCGTCTCCATGATCGTGATGCTCTCCGACCAAGGCATAGTATCGCTCTGTAGCTTTCCATCACGTAGGCAGCGGGCGCACTCATCCGCCTCCCAGTACATGCCGTGACCCCAGTTATCGCGGGCGGGGTCTTTAGGATAATCGACCTCTACAACTTCGACCTTGCCTCCGCCGTCCTTCTTGATAACCTTGTACTGACCCGGCTTGAAGGCAGGTCCCATGACCTGGATCTCGCCTTTTGTCCCTTGAATGCGAATGGCTGGTCCTGCAGTGTTGTGGCCGTCGGGGTCAGTGGCGACACGCATGCCAGTGAGGGCGACACCCATGGATTTGTGTTGAGGAAACTGGCAAATGATGGTGGTCTGCTCATCTGCGCCTGTTCGGTATTGGTTGCTGGCAGCAGTAACGCGAGGAGCTTCCTTCTGAGCTTCAGGTTGAGTGTGGTAGAGGGTCTGGAACACCCAGGTCAGAGAGTAGATACCGAGATCAAGCACGGCTCCTCCAGCTAGGTCGAGGTTGACCATCCTATTCGTGTCAGGGAATTCAAGGTCTCCATCAGGCTGGCTTGAGTTGAAGCTGAGGTCGGCTATGGTATGGATTTGTCAGATCTCAACTTCTCGATATCACTATTGAGAATGGAACCCCGCCAGTGCCGTGTGTGGCATAGAGAGAACTTACCAATTGTGCGGTGCACTGTACCAATGGCGCCGCTTGTGATTAGCTCTCGGATTTTGATGCTCAAAGGAAAGAATCTAGTCCAGACAGCCTCCATCAGGAACAGGTTCTTGGCTCTGGCCTTCTCTACAAGCTTCTTCACCTGCGAGGCTGTGACTGTGAATGCCTTCTCACAGAGCACGTGTTTACCGGCCTCTAGAGCAAGCATTGCGTTCTGGAAGTGGTGGCTGTGAGGGGTCGCGACATATACAATTTCGACATTGGGGTCAGCGACGAGCTCATGGTAAGAGCCGTAGAGCTTGGCTGTGCTGGGACCCTTGATGTCCTTGATGAAGGCCGCAGCCCTGTCGCTTGAGCTGGAGGATGAGACAGCGACGATCTCATGGCGGACATCACTGACACCTCGAGTCTCTGGATTGGTGAGGATGTCTTTGCAGAAGGCTAGTTTGTAGGAACGATAGCGTCAGTATCTAACCTTGGAATAAGGTGATGTGCTGGTGTTCACTTACTAGAAGCAATGCCTCCTGTGGCCATGATGCCCCATTTTACAGTGTACGGACTGGTAGCTGCCATCGTGGAGTTGTGTTGGAGAGTTTCTGAGGGGTGTTTGAGGGAAGATGAGGAGGAAGAAACAAGGTGGGTTGCGTATCGAATGATTCAAAGCACCAGGGGACAGAGGGGCTTTATAACCAAATCATGAGCGAGGCCGATAATTCCGATCAGCACCAGCTTAGGCAAGAGGGGCCAAAGTTGCCCGGATACTAAATGGGTATCTAGAGCAGAGGGAGGGTGGATTGAGTTGTTCAGGTTTTCAACATGGAATCAATGGACACGCAGAATAGGAATAGTTAAGGTGGCCGATTTCCTCAGATTGGGTTGAGCGGCCTACTCTTCTAGGCTAGGAATAAGGCGCGGTCTCTTGAACTGGAACGGGAGCAAATCTAATACTAAGTCTCATTTCTTCCCGCCGTGGGCAACGAAACCTGATAGCGGCCTCAATTGGTGACGTTGGTGATGGGGGCAGAAGCTACCCCGCACTTGCTCCCCTAATTACCTTATCCACCGAACCCAGTGAGGGGATTATACCGGCCACTGCCTATCAGCTACAGTAGTAGCCGGCCCTATGTAATAATTGGCAGAAATACGGCGAAATAAACCCCCATTGTGCCTAGTATCGGAGAAGTGAAGGTAGCCCTTGGCTTCAAGCTCGTTAGCGGCCATTAAGGCAAACGATGATGGCATACTAAGGACATTAATTTAGCCTGATTTGGTAAATTGATCTGCTGAAGAATTGTCTCTCCACATCTCTTTTTTCTCCAGGCGTCCTTCTCTCTGGGAGGAGGAGAAGGATATGAAGAAAGGAAAATCGCTTAGGTACAAGGTAGCTATCAGAGATACTGGATAGGGGAGACCTCTAGGTTAGAATAATGGTGGTGTAGGGTGGTAAACCATCGCTCTCTAGTGGTCATGGCAAAAAAGAGTAACTCCGCGATTGCATCATTCTTCCATCGATGCTCCAGCCTCGTAACTATTCTTGGTCGCGAATCATCTCCGGCACCGTACGCGGAGCCAAACTACCTAAGTACAGGAGTGAAGCTGTTGGTTAACGGATTTCCGCAACGACATCCGACCCGGTCCCACCCCCGGTTTGGCTTCGATCTCGCCAACCCCTGGCCTGCCACATGTGCAACAACCAACCGACCGATTGGGCTTCTGATACAACTTGTTGGTCCATAGCATCCAATGGCGGTGGCACAGTCGAGCATTGGGACCCAGGCTTCGGCACTGGCCCGAGACCTGACCCTTAGATCATCGTCAGCGGTAACGCAAATCCCCAAATTCGTGTACGGTACCGCCTGGAAGAAAGACCG